TAAATAAAATTAATATTTTTACAAATAATATTTTATTATTTTTATGGTTGCCATAACTGTGTTTAGATAATGAGGGTTAGGTTTGTATTGCGTCCAGAGCCGCCAGACTTCAATTACCTATGAGAAGGTGAGACTAGAGCAATAGGCAAACGAAAAAAGAGAATATCAGTACGTCAAAAGGTGTAGATTTTAATTTTCAACATTATTTTTTTTTTGAACATGAATTTTCAACATTATTTATTACATCTATCATGTGGTTATTAATATTATAAGATACCCTTACTTCTCCTTTTTTTTTTTTTTTTTTTTTTTTTTTTTTTTTTTTTTTGTTTACCCTATTTTGTTTTTCATTGTCAAAGTTTGAGATATTTAAACTTGAAAAGTGAGATAAAAATATTATGGTTATAATATTACATAGTATTTGTAAACTTAATATATGATATGTTATTAAATAATTAACTTTTTTTTATTTAAGGATTCACTTATGATGTTATTTGTATTTACTTATTTAATATCATATTATATTTATTTAATACCACATAAAATTATAAACCTACAATCTTACATAATATTGTAATTATAGTATTACTGTTATTCAAAAATACTATAATTACAATTTCACTTATATGGCGTGGCTTGTACGTATATAATACGATATATTGTTATTTAATTAATTCTTTTTATTTAAAAATTCACTTATAAAATTACATATATTCATTCATTTAATGTTATATTATACTTATTTAATAGGTTAAATCTCTAATTTAATCCCTAAACTATTATACAAACCTCTAATTTGGTTCTTGAACTAAAAAAATCCTTGATTTGATCCACAAACTATTGTACAGAGCCCCAGTTTGGTCCTTATTGTTTACCAATTTACCCAAGAAAGGTTTTTTCGTATAAAAAACAATTGATATATCTCATTATTAATGTGACACGTCATTGTTAAACAACTATTTTTTTTCGTTAAGTAATGAACACGTCAACTATTTTTTTGTACATAATGACCAATTTGGGGTTAAATCAATAAATAGTATGGACCAAATTGAGAGTGTATACAATAGTTCAACGATCAAATCAGAGATTTTTTAGTTTAGGGACTAAATTGATGGTCTATATAATAATTTAAGGACCCAATTAGAGGTTTAACTTATTTAATATTATATAATAATTATACATTTATAATTTTACGTAATATTATAATATTAATGCAGTAAGTAATAAGAAAAAAATTGTTTAGTTATAGTTATACAACTCGAAATTGGGTTAAAAAAAAAAAAAAAAAAAAAAAAACTATTTCGATCAATCAAATTAAATTAATTTACTTGGCTTAACACTTAATTTGGCTGCTTAAAGTCATGCCATCCCCTCAAACCAAACAAGGTCTAAGTTTTTATTATTTTTTATTTTTTAAAATTTTAGACAATTTTTTTAAACTTAGA